CCCAGTGGATCGGAGCCTCCCAGGAGTTAAGCCAAACCGGACAATCTTAACATTTCAAGAACAATCCCCTCCCCCCTTCCTCAAACCTCAAGGCAGGATTTGGAGCGCGCGTCCAAGACAGGGGAGCCTGACGCGAATTCTGCATTGCTCGAAGAGCCTCTGCGGACACTGCTTGGACGGCCATCGGCGAGTCCCCAGCCTCGGCCATCGCCCGCCCACCTAGACCTCCAGCCTCGCGAGAGCGAGAGCGCGCCCTGACAAGAGCGCATACCTGAGTCACCCAGGCGGGGCCCGCGGCGCGGACCCGGCGGCGGCACTTCGGCGTCGCACTCAGCGTCGAAGTCGGCCCGCGTCGGGGCCGCCGAAGTTCCGCGGCATTTGCGTAGCGACGGTTCCCATGTCGCCTGCGTCAGCTTTTTGATATCGAACGGGGTTCGAGATGATGTCGTGGGTGTCGGGCTTTTTGAAGAAAGTGGTTGGGGGTTGGGCTTGCGCTTTTCCGCGGGCAGACGCCTCTCGCCCTCCACGTTGGCAAGACTCAGAAATACGAGCACGCCACTGTTGAAGCCGTTGACGCTGAGCTTCCTCTGCGCGCTGCTGCAGCCCTCGAGAATGCGCCGGGCGGCCCCGCGTGCTTGCTGTGGAGGCGGCCGGCAAAATGGCGTCCACCATGCTGGCCACTGCGCGCAAACCCGTGGAAGTTGACGAATCTGCTTGCACATGTTTGCGCGGAGCTGGTGGTGGAGCTGGACGTCGACGTAGCTGCTGGCGCCCTTCTGCTCGTGGCGGGCGGCCACCATGCAGAGCTCCATGAGACGACAGTAGAGCTTGGTGCACTGCCATTCGATCCTGGACATGGCGCCTTGTCGCGGTGAGATTGGCGGCGCTGCCCAGCCCGTCGCCCACCTTGGAGGCCTGCCGCACCCCGCGCTTCCTTGCTTGACATGCCCAGCGCAACGCGCGCCCCAGAAATCCCCGCCCAGGTGGTTGGCGATCTCAGGGAGGCGTTCAGCATGTCCATCGGCCACGTGAATCGCGTTCGCGGCCTGCTGGATGGGGCACAGTGATGGCCTGCACGCCGCACTGCTCGGGCCCCACCCACCGTCGAACTTGCGCCGAGAACGCCTGAGCATTCAGCGTGGCCTCGAGCCCAAGGTGTCCTGGGCATTTGAGGTCTCGAACAGGCTGGGGGTCGACCGCCACCGAGTTGGCGCTGTCATTGGCGATGATGTTGTCTATCCTGGACGTGTGCACGCCAGGATCGTAGCGATTCCAATGTGTGTCGCGCCTGTAGGTCGTGGCCCCGCGATCGCAGTCGGCGGGCGCGGCGAGGTCGCACTGCGCGTCCATGCCGGAGAACCAGGGCGCGGTTGCCGGTCTACAAGCAGCTGGTTGCCGCGCGTCGGCATAGAGAGCCTCGTTCGACTCGCATGCGGCGCCGCGAGACTGCCGCCAGGTAGTGGCCCGCGACGCGTTGGCCCTGGCAGTTCGGCATTGGGGCAAAGACTTTTTCCCGCCGCCGCGTCGCCGAGAGACTCTCGTGGACTTGACGTTTAGCTTCTGCAGCTTCAGCGGGTGCAGATGGCGCAACAGTGGGAACAGTGGCGGCGACGCCGCCGCGCCCAGCCCGCACATCTTCCGCTCGCGCACTGGCGTTTTCCATCGCGGCGGGGGCCTGCCGAGCAGCGGGGCCCAATGGTGGGCCCCAGTGGGCCTTCCATCCATGCCGGTAGAGCTGGTCGTTGAAACCTGGCGCCTGGCTCTGCACGCGTCGAAACACCTGCCGCGCCGCTGCAGCCGCTCCGCGATCTCCGAGCGCCGCGAGTAGCTCCCAATGCGCCTGCAGAGATGTCACGCTGAGAAATAAGAGGCGATGCTGCCCAGGTTCGTCGCCAAGCGTCGTCTCAGAGTATGCCTGCGTGCGATGGTTCACGCAGACTCCCGTCGATGTTGCGCCATATCCAACGCGTGACAGCGCGCCCTGACCATCTGCGCGGTGACCGGGTCCTGCGGGCGCTGGAAGAGCACGCCTGCAATGACGTTCCGAGGCGCCCCTGCGAACTCCGCGGCGACAGAGCCCCCCTGGGGCCCGAGGAGCACGCCGGCGGCGGCGACCCTGACCTCGGCAAAACGCGGCCGCGGGCGTCGTAGAAGATTGGGAAACGCAGCGACTGTGCCGGGGTGGCGCTCGAGGCGCGCGCCGCCGTCACCTCCTGGCGCAGGCAAATTGTGGCGCAGGTCAGCGTTATGGTGGTAGTTCTCGCTGTCGGGGCCCCAATGTCTCATGCTGGCATGCCGCGCAGCAGTGGTCATACTAGATGATCATAAGGCTGGAGATATACAGCCACCCCGCGCGCCGCAGTATTCCGAGGCCAATGCGCGCCGCCCGCTGTCGTAGATCGGCGCGCGCCCGATCGCGCTCCCGACCCATGGGTCGAACGTCCCAACAGAAGGTGGGGCGAGGCGTCCGCGGGCACCCTGGGCTCTGCGCGCGAGGGGCCTCCATTTGGAGGTTCATGTTGTTCAGGATCGGCGAAGGGCCCTCGTGCTGCGAGGCCTGGTTAGTCGCGGTCACCTGGTTGATGGCGGCGTTCTGCTGCCTGAGCTCGGCGATGGCCGTCTGCGTCTGCGCGGTGGCGGCGTTGACCTTCTCGCCCAGCGCGGCTGCACTAGACTCCTGCGGAGCGATGGATTTCTTCGCGACCTTCATGTCGGCCGCCTGCTGGCGGGCGCTTGCCTCCAATTTTCAAGTCGTCGACGTTGCGCGTTGAGTGGCCGTGCTGGCGCTGGCGTAGCGTAGGTGGTTCGCGCTTCTGATCGACCTCCACCAGGTCTCCGTCCGCCCTCGGCGCAGCCGGCGCAGCGGCCAGCTTGCCCCGTGGCGCTGCCGGCCACAGCGGCGTTGCAGTAGCTGTGGGCGCTGGCGCACTGCCCGTTGGAGGTGGCGGTGGTTTCGACTGCGTCGCAGCGGCGAGCACCACTGCGGGGCCCGCTGCAGGGTCGATCCGATTGGCGGCTGCTTCAGCGCCTGGGGCAACGTCCGTGACGACCCATGGTTTGGCGGCGCCGGACTTCCAGGAGTTGTTGGATGACCCCGTGTCGGAGCACCCGATGGTGAAGTTGGCCCTCCCGTCGGGGTCAAAGCTGGCGTGGGCAATGGCGGTGGCCCAGCCCGCCGACTAGGCGGCATCCGTGACTTGACCCTTGGTGGCGCGACCGCCGGGGATGTTGTCGTTGCGCCCCCTGCGCCTGGCCATCGCGATGTCGGGGCGTCGCGCCGCTGCGGCCGCGGCCGCGGCCTCTGGGCGTTCGCGTAGCAGACGCAATCCGAACGAGCCGCGGTCGCCCTTAGCAACGCCCAGGGCAGCCTCGCGCGATTTAGACATGGCGCAGGCGTCCTGCATGGGAACTGTTTGGTTGAACGGCACCGTCTGGGCCCGCTGCTTGTCTTTCTCTTGCATGTCGGATTCGGCGCCGGTGTAGGGAGAGGTGAACATGATCCGCTGATGGCCCCGTTGCTTCTGCAACAAGTTGTCCCTGGCTTTTCCTGATGGTGATGATGGCCCCCGCGCGCGCCAGCCGACTTGGCCGCCTGCGCGCAGAAGCCTGCTAGGCTCGTCCAGCGTCCCGATCTCGGGGCACGTGGCATTCATAACGGACTTGGTGACCTCTCGGATTCCCGCCTCGAGCGACCGCTTGCTGTCGGAGCGTCTCGCGTGCTTCCGCCTCTCATTTGCCGCGCTGCCCATGATGTCTCTCTGACTCTGACAGCTGTTGGCCATCGGCGCTGCACCGCCGAACTGGCTGCATAATGCATCTTTGACGGTTGGATTCGCCAACAGCGCATCAGCCCCGTGGACCGTGATGCGCACGAATGACGCGTATCCGTCTGTGGCGTCCAGCTGGGCGATGTTGGTCTTCATGGCGGCCTCCGTCTCGCCGAATTGATGTACCACTCCTTCCCGCGTCTGTTTCGGTACCTGAGCTTCGTGTGGAATTTTGAATGCAGGAATCTGGATATTAGGGTTCACTGCTCGTTGCTTGTTCCGCTGGCGGTGATGGCCAGCGGCTCCTTCTGCCGACGGAGAGCAACCCACCTCTTCTCGGCGTCCACGGTGGAATGGAGGGACACCGAAGACTCGAAATCGCCGTTGGGTAGCTTCTTCGGTGCCGGGGCGATCGAGACCGCCCAGTCGTTCAGGTCGAGGGCCATGGGAGGCTCCACCGCCTTGCCTGTTCCTTTCCCTTTGGCGTTCGGCTCACTCCTTGCAACCCCATCTGTCACAGCATTGGCATGCGTAGCGCGCCGATGGTGATCGTTGGACCACGATATCGAATTCTTTGTCAAGAGCTTTCGGAGCGCCCTCAACTGCTTCTCGTTTGGGGTTGTCGCCAAGAGGAGGTCCACATCCGTCTGATTTTTGTGAATCAACTCGTTGTATGCCGCGGTGGCTCGATCACCCCCAACATCTTGAACCAATGTCGCCAGCTTCGTTTTGCGAGCCGCTGGCCCACTGATCTTTCCATGCTGTGATGCTCTATTCTCGCTATGCCGGATGAAACAAGAAATTCCTGACCAACTAACAACCGATCTTCTGCATTGCAATCACTGGCGGTACCGCCACAAGTACGACGGGCGGGCTCTGAGGGCAGATCGGAAGGGCTGAGCGCGCTCGTTTCCCAGCAAGCTCGAGCCCATATGGTATTTGAGCCAAAACGGTGATGATGATGATGATGATGATGATGATGATGATGATGATGATGGTGGTGGTGATGATGACAACCGTAATGATTATGACGGCGATGATGATGATGATGATGATGATGATGATGATGATGATGATGATGATGATGATGATGATGATGATGATGATCATGATGGCGCGGGCGATGATGATGGGGATGGTGATGCTGATGATTATTATGATGATGCTGATGCTGCGAATGATGTTGATGATGATCATGAAGAGGAAGATGGTGCTGGTGCTGATGATGGTGCTGATTATGCTGATGACGATGATCATGATGACGTCCTGCCCGATGGAGTTGGCGAGCACGGTGTCGAAAACGCTCGACATGGCGAAGAGCCTGACGTGTCCGCCGTGACGGCGGTGCAGGGCGCGCGCCGCCCAGACGGTCGGGTAGGTGGTCCCGCTGTGGCTGACGGCGAGGACCAGGGCACCCTCCGAGAAGCGGAAAGAGAGGCGCGAGATCGCAAAGTTCCTGGGCTCGAGGTGCCCGTGGCCCTCCTGGAGCATCCCGAGCAGCCAGTTGGAGCTTAAGGCCGTGACGTTGAGCATCGGCATCACCTTCTTGAGGTCGGCTGCGAACTGCTGTCCAAGCCAGAGACTGTTTTCGATGCCGAAGACGAGAACGTCGATCCTGTCGCTGGTGCCGCCGTCGCGCTGTTTCCTCGCCAGCAGCTCCGAGAGGCACGTGCCGAACTTTCGGCCGCTCTGGCTGTTCAGCGACACGCTGTCCTGGCTGCCGCGGCGAGGGCGGAGAGCCCAGGGGAGAGCCTTACACGCATCCTCGGAACAGGGCGAAAAGAGACAACGGCGGCCCAAACTCGGGAGCTGGACACCTCCCCCGGGCCTGAGCGCACGAGTCCTCCGAGCTGCGTCCAGCGGTGGCGGCGAGGGGACCCCCCCCCGAAGGCCAATTACCGCTGTCTCAACTGAGTGACGATCAGCGACGGGTCTTACGCGAGATTACACAGCGGCCTTACGCGGGCCGCCAGCGCGGTACGCTACATTGGAGGCGATGGCGCTTACCCGCGATCTTACGCGGGCAACTTATGCGCCAATGTCGGCGAAGACGGTCCCGTTTTTTTCTCGCGTCGCTCAACTACCACTGTCTCAGCTGGCCCTCCTCTGATACACGTATCCATGGGGTCCGATGGCCCATGTGATCGACGAGGCTCCTTGCTGGATGCGTGTGATGCCTGCCCTGGTTGCCCGGACCGCTCGAGCGCGCGTGTGGACTGCATCTGCCGCGCTGCGACGTAAAAAACAATGTTCGCCCCTGGGCCACAGAACAAAAACTTGTTTGATCTGCAGGGCGAGAGCGAACCTCTTCCGCTGAAAGCTAAGCGGGACGCGCACAGCTTTAATTAGCAGAGACAGGGCGGAAGAAGGCGGGGCCTCACGCGGCCGGGAGAGGGCGAAGCCCAAGACACATAACAAACACATATAGCTACAAACTTTCGGAGGTCCACGCGGATTTCTCGGGTCGGCGCTGGACCCCCCTCCATGCGCGCCACGGGCGGCGCCAGATGCGCCGCCCAGGGGGGGGGGGGGGGCCATCGCAGATCCAAGACATCTGCGTGAAGCTACAAGGAGATTTGATGTCTGGTGCTTTTCCTGTTTCGATGCCGTCCCTGGGCTACCCTACCTCCCGATCCGCTTTAGTTCTGGGATATTCCGAAGGGTGGAGATGTTCGCCATACTTTTCAAGCTCCTTTGGTGCCGATTCCCGCGCTATTTTTCAGTTGCCGTTTCTGGCATACTTGTTGGTGCCCGCCTTGCGTTGTGGCAGTTTTGTGGGATGCTCCACTGAGTTGTCGAATGTTCCACAGAAGTGATGCATTTCCGCATTACTTCTCTGAGGCGAAGATTTCCGCCCTGCTTCTTCGCATCCTCAGGAATGCATCTCCGACACACTTGCAAGTCGGAAAGGCAACCAGACTACGGCGGATCTGGAGTCAGGGAGGGGGGGCCGAATCCGTCGAGGAATGTCGATCGAGCTTGACTCGGCGATGCAATGCCGATTGATCGGCGATAGGCCCCACGACGAATGGGCGGCTGCGGGTCGGCGCATCCCACCCTGAGCCCACCCCTGCCACCAGTGGCATTCGGGCCATGCGCCGCAAGTCGGGCCCCCGCCGCCAGCTCGGGACGATCCGGGCGCCCCCAGAATGCTCTCGGCGCGCAGCTGCTGGAGAGCACCCCGAGGCACCCTCGAATCTCAAACCTCGAGCCCGTCGTCCCACCCTGTCGCTGCCCCTGACCAAAGAATCAAAAGTCGACCCCTGGAACCCCCCCTTGGTGCGTTATGACCACAGTTCAAAGGCGGATCCAGCCGCGGCCACGAGGGCGTCCAGAGACTATCAAGAACGCCCAGGAGGAGGAGGAGGAGGAGGAGGAGGAGGAGGAGGAGGAGGAGGAGGAGGAAAGCGAGCCCCGATCCCCGAATCCGTCGCCCGCCCTTCGGGCCCTGCGCCCCCCCCTTGCCCCCGCCGGTCCTTCCACGCATCCTCCACCTGCTGCAGCACGGAGGGCACGTCGCCCAGGTCCTGCGCCACGGGGTCCAGGCCCCCCCACGAGTTGCCCAGCCGGCGGCTCGGCGGCGGGTTCTGCAGCTGCACCCAGCGCGCCACGAGCGCGTCCCTCGTGAGGGGCCTGGCCGGCGGAGCGCAGAGCCCGAGGGGGAGGAGGAGGAGGAGGAGGAGGAGGAGGAGGAGGAGGAGGAGGAGGAGGAGGAGGAGGAGAGGAGAGGAGAGGAGGAGGAGGAGAGGAGGAGGAGGAGGAGGAGGAGGAGGAGGAGGAGGAGGGAGGAGGAGGAGGAGGAGGAGGAGGAGAGGAGGAGGAGGAGGAGGAGGAGGAGGAGGAGGAGGAGGAGGAGGAGGAGGCAAGCTGGGTGCGCTAGCGTCACATCTGACGTCCTGCCCCTCCCTCTCATCCGTTACCATGGCGTAGATCGCCGATCTGTTCTTGCCTGCCCGATGTGGGCGCTTTCGAATGCCAAGAGTCGTCCGGAGGCGCGGGAATGAGGCCATCGCTGCAGCGGGAGCACGATTTTAAATGACCGAAGCGCGGAAATGTGGGCGGCGCTGCAGCGGGAACACCATTGTGGAAGAGCCAGAAACGACAGGATTGAAAAAAACGCATAGGACAAACCAAATCATGGAATCCTGCGTGTGAAGAACAATACGCGGAGAGCACGGGGCACTCTCCGGACAGAGTCAGGGGAGAGAGGAACATAGTATTGATATTGTGTAATTGTAGACGGGGAGGAGGAGGGGAGGGGGAGGAGCAGGAGGAGGAGGAGGTGGAGGAGGAGGAGGAGGAGGAGGAGGAGGAGGAGGAGGCTTCCGGAAGTAGGGGCGGAGATGTTCGCCCTACGCTTCAAGTTCCTTTGACGTCGACTTCCGCCCCACATTGTCGTCGCTGCTTCTGCCACACATGTGCGGAAAGATTTGGACGCTCGTCATAACAGAGGGTTTTGCTCGCGCGCGCAGCATCTCCCTCCGCGGGCCCCATGGGCTCCAAGCCCCGTGCGTGGCCAGCTCTTTGGGGTGGGCGGGCGGGGCCACAGCCCGCCTGCCCGGCCCGTGGCTCGGGCCAGGCATTCCGAGGAGTGCTGGGTAGGGGCAGGGCCAAGACCCCCCTCCAGTGCGGGCGGCGGCCGGAGAGGTCGCGCGGCCCGCTGCGGCCGCCAGATGCGGCCCGTCCGCACGCTCGAAGGCAGCGTGGCGACGGCAATCTCCGCGATGCTGGCGTGGCTGGGCGCGTCTCTGGGCGTGGGCCTGCACGCCAGCTTCGCGGCGACAGCCACACGTCCCGGGGCCCGAGGGCGGCCATGCTCGGGCGGGACCGGGCGAGAGCGAATCGGGGGATAGGAAGAGGAGCACGAGGGGCACCCCCGGTCAGAACAGCCAGCCCAGCTGCTCAAGCGAGAGCGGTGGGACGCCGCCAGCCCCAGACCCCCGACGTAATGATTTTTTCATTACGTCGACCCCCAGAGGTCTGGACCCTTTCCCCATGACCGGCTTTGCACCCTGAGTCGTTTTTTGACGCTCCCGAGGCCCGGTGAGGGCCCCCGGAGGCCGAAAATTGGGAAAAACATCCCGTCATGATTTTTTCATTACTCGAGGGGGTCTGGGGCCATCGAGGAGTCTGCGGCAGAGCCCCGGCCACTCTCGGCGGCAGCGACCCTCCCTCTCCCGGGGCCCCTAGCCGTACGGATCCGCCCACAGCCAGAGCCGACCCGGGCGAGCGGCCCCCGCCAAGCGGGGAGTACGAGCATACTACTACCAGGGAAAAGACTTCGCGGACGCCAGCCCAGCAGCGGCGCCCGGGCGAGCCCGGAGCAGGCGGAGGGCGCTGCCATCGGAGGAGAGGAGACGCAAGGAGCTAGACCGTCCCCGCCCCCCCCCCGGCGAGCCGTCGGGCGCGCCTGGCACGTCGGCGGCAGGAGGCAAGCAGGGCGAAGGACCAAGCTTGGCGCCTGGTGCCACCATGGGAGTGCAGCTCGGCATGTCGTGGGTCAACGCATGGGTCGAAGAAGCCCTCGAAGTGGCTTGGCGAGCAGGTGGGGCGTGCGATGGGCGCAGTGCTGCACCGGCTCCTCTTCTTCCTGATGGGAACGGTCGATGCCATGAGCCGCTACCTGTTCGGCGAGTGCTGGGCGAAGCTGCAGTGGGCGGCCGTGGGAGCGCTCGGGATGGCTACTATCTTGGGCTCCGTCGTCGGCTTCGTGGCATGGTTCCTCCGAAAGGCCTGGGCATGTACCTCGTTCGTCGTAAAGACGTTGAGGGGCTTCGCGGGCGGCAGCAAGACGGGTCACGACATGAAGGTGGCATTGGAAGGCGAACCATCCTCGGCTCTGTCCTGGCATGGCCCTTCAGAGGTCGAAGCAGTGGACGAAGCCCACGTGAAGAGCGAGGTCCGCGCGAGGGGGGGCGTCGCGGAGAAGATGATGCCCAACGATCTCATCGTTAGGTCGGGCGGGCCCGCGGCGCGCTTGGAGCAGGGGCCGCTCAAGGGCAGCCGCCTCGCAAAGCACGGGTACGTCTACCGCTCCAAGAAGGTGAAGGGCAGCTCCCATCGCTACCTCAAGGACAAGCTCTGCAGGCGCATGCTGGGGTGCTGCGCCAGAAGGCGGCGGAGGCGCCCAAGTCCCGGCAAGGGAAGCAAGGCAGAGGAGATGGACCCCCGACTCGGAGACCAAGTCGGCGCCTCGACATCTGCGAGGCGGGCAGGATCGCCTCCCTCGGAAAGGGGGGCAGGGTCTTCAAGGGCTCCTAAGTTCGCGCTTCGCGCTGCGCGAAGCGCGAATAACTTCGCGCTCTCGCGCCGCCCCCCAAGGGGGAGAAGAGGAGGACGAGGAGGAGGGGGAGAAGGAACGAGGACCGCGAAGCGCGAATAACTTCGCGCCCTCGAGGGAGCCGGATCGCCTCCCTCGGAAAGGGGGGCAGGGTCTTGTGCTCGAAGGGCTGCAGAGACTCCGCCCGCCAGGGGCCAGCCTGCCTGCCGGCGGAGGCTGCGGCCACCTCGGACGTGCGCGGCGCTCCGGAGGTGGGCGGCGCTCGCACCCTCCGAGCGCGCCCCGGCCACGCTCAGACCTACGAGGCGCGGGCGGCGCAGCGGAAATGTGCCCGCGCCCAGTGCTTCAGGGAGCTGGCCATCGCTCGGACGTCCATTCCCTGTGCTTTTTTCGGCTTCGTGCGTGGTTTTTCGCCAAATGATCAAGGATGCTCCTCGATGGTCCTCGCCAAAGGAAACATGCACACGTCCGAGCGGTGCCAAGGGAGAGGGCTACGGAGAAGGACGGGCTCCTCCTCTGCGCGACGCGCGCGGCCGATCGCGTCGCGGCCCGGCGCGGCCGCTCCACTGCCCCGAGGCCTGAGGTTAAGAGAAGGAGCCAGGCTCGCGTCCGGCCGGAGGGCAGGAGGAGGAGGAGGAGGAGGAGGAGGAGGAGGAGGAGGAGGAGGAGGAGGAGGAGGGGGAGGAAGATGGAGACGAGGACGAGGAGGCGGAGGAGGGAGAGGGAGAGGAGGAGGAGGAGGAGGAGGAGGAGGAGGAGGAGGAGGAGGTTCGCCAGGCGCGCGAGGATCGCCCCCCGACGAGCTCGGGAGCCAGGAAGAGCAGCCCCGCTATAGGCAGCAGCGCAGGCGGCACGGCGGATCCACGCGCGGGCCCCCCTGGCCGACGCGACCGCGAGCCCGGGCGCGCACGGCAGCTTCCCAGACCTCCTCGAGTCATGAAAAAATCATGATCCTCATTTTCGGCTCATGAGGGCCCTTACCGGGCCTCGGGACCATCAAAAAACGGCTCGGGACGAAAAACTGGTCCCGGGGATTGGGTCTGGACCTCTGGGGGTCGCGTCGTGAAAAAATAATGACGTCGGGGGTCTGGCTTCCCGCAAACTTCGTCGGCCCGGCTAGGGACACCACCGAGGGCGGCCCTCGCACCGACGTGGAGGCTGTCGGCCTCGGCCTGGTCTGCTCTGTCTCCGACGGCGCCCCGTCGGCCCCGCGCCCGGAGCTGCTCGACGAGTTCATCAAGTGCCCAGCCCCCGGCCATTTGCTGGAGGTCAGGCGTCGCTTTCAGACTGCGGGGGCGGCGCCAACTGCTGCGGGGATGGTTTGAGCCCGCTGTCCGCAGCCGCCCTTCGCAGCGAGCGGAGCCGCCGCCACCTGGCCCGTCGGGCGAGGCCCAGGAGCAGGAGCGCTGCGCCGACGAGGAGGGAGGCGCGCGGCGACCTCGATAAGCAGCACGGGAGGGCGCACGCGCAGGGCGAGGAGCCGAGGAGGCGAGACCCTCGCGCAAGCCTCATCTCCGACTGCCTGGGCCGCAGGGCGGGCGGCCGGACAGGCGCCTCGGCGCGAGGGGCCCTGTCTGCCGAGCGAGGAGCGGGAAGGCGACGAGCTCCTCGCCGAGTTCGTCGAGGCCGCCGACGCGATGCGCGAGGGCGTGGTCCGCGAGGACGGCCTCAGCCTACCACGGGGGTGTCGGGCCGCGCGGGGCAGGGAGCATTGACGGAGGAGATGGGCACGGGCACGAGGCTGCCGAGCGGCCCGCAGAGGCGGAAGGGGCTGCCGCGCCCTCCGACGGCGGGGGGCCTCCCCTCCCAGCGCCGCGTGCCGCCCGGCCCCGGGACACCCCGCCCAGCCGCCGTTGCACCGACTGCCCGGGGCGCGCGCGCCCCCGGGGCGGGCGCGTGGGCCCGCCCCACCCGGGGGCCGCGGCCCGGAGCGCCTCCGGGCCTGCAGCTAGGGGCCGCCCCACCCGGGGGCCGCGGCCCGGAGCGCCTCCGGGCCTGCAGCTCGCCGCCTGCGGCCCGGGGCCTCTGGCTCGGCCGTCGCACGCGAGGCTCGACCCGTCGGTGCTCTGGAGGGTCCAGCTCCACCTCCCCGCCGGGGGGCCGGCCTCCGCCAGAGGCGTCCTCCTTGGAGCGGGTCACTGGGCCGAGGGAGGAGGGGAGGGAGGAGAGGGAGGAGGGAGGAGGGGAGGAGGGGAGGAGGGGGGAGAGAGGAGGGGAGGAGGGAGGAGGGAGGAGGGGAGGAGGGGAGGAGGGAGGAGGGAGGAGGGAGTGTGTGGCATGCGGGCGTCTCCTCCATGCCCCGGGAGGAGCGGATCCCCGCGGGGCCGCTCCCCGAGACCGGCCTGGGGCTCGGCATGGAGAGCCTCGTGCGAGATCTGGGGCGAGCCAGCGAGCACGCGGAGGATGCGGGAGGAGCAGCCAAGGGCACGCTGGCCAGCACTGGCCGGGCGGAGGAGCAGCTTGGTGTTCACGGAGGTTTCCTTGGGCAGCACTGCCAGAGGAACAAGGTCGGGCAAGTGGCGCCCAGTCAAGCCAGGGCGGGGCCCATCGAGTGGGGGGCAGACGACGAACCGAGCCAGGGCACTCTGTCCCTGGCGGGCTTGGCTTGGGCCGTGCTCGACTGCCGCGATAAGCTGGCCCTGGGCGCCGAGACTGTCGAAGCGCCAGGCGGGCTGCAGCTCTCGACGCAGGGCGAGCCGCCGGAGATCGAGCTGTGCGAGAGCGCCATCCTCAACGCGGCGGCGGCGCACACGGTCGGCAACGAGCCAGCTCCGCCAGGGGGCTGGCCATCAGCGATCGAGGCCCAGTAGGAGGGCCTCGAGTTCCGGAAAGAGATGCTGGCAGCAGCCAACTCAGCGGAGGGCGCCCTAGGAGAGGTTCCGGGCTTGCTCGCGCAGGCGGATTCTGCCACGACCTCGCGCACAGGGACCATGACAAGGACTACCGCATGCACGCAGCGCTTCCGCCGCACCTCTTGCGGAGCAAGGCCCCGGGCGCCGCGCGCGTGGACTCCCGCGGCGGGGCGGCGGTCGAACTCGTCGGCTCCGAGTCCACGCGCCAGGAGGTGGACATTCTCTGGGTTCTCGTGCACAAGGGCCACGTGCGGGCCCTGGTCGCGCCTGCAGACGGCGCCATGGGCCAGCTGTATGGCGCGGCCCCTGGCTGGGAGGCGCTACTTGAGCTGGCGCTCACGACTAAGTGACTAGGTCGCCACCAGCGCACCCAGGAGCGCTATGGTGTCAGCGGTGCGCAGAGGCAGCGGGCATGGCAGTCACCCGTAGACCAGCGCCTGGCTTCCGCGTCGGGCTGCCGAGCAAAGAAGCCCTTGCCAACTCCGCCCTGTTCCTGGAGAGGGCCGCGGCGGGCGAGGTTGAGGAGGACGAGGAGGTTGAGGTCGGCAAGGTGGGCGGGGTGCAGGCCGAACCCACGGACGACGAGCTCCGCGATTGGCTCGGGGCCCAGGCCGCGGCCTTGCCACCGCGGGGGCACCGCCTCGATTTCCTCGAGATCTTCACGGGCGAGGCGTGCATTTCGCAGGCAGAGGCGCAGAAAGGGGGCCGTGCGATCACGATCGGGCTGCATCACGGGCAAGATCTTCGCCGACGTAGGGGCTGGCGGCTGCTGCTGGCGCTCGTGGACCTCGACGACCCGCGCGAGACCTGGCTCAGCTGGCCATGCGCGGCTTTCTGCACCTTCGCGGCGCTCAGAGCTCGAGGAGTCGACGTGTCGAGGGCGAAACGGGAAGGCGCGATCTCCCTGACGCTCGCCGAGAAGATCATGGCCGAGCGCGCCGCCAAGCACAGGGTCCGCTCGCTCGGCCGAGAACCCTTGGCTATCGGCGGCGTGGCGGCAACTCGAGGCGGTGCTGAAAGAGCCCCTGCTTCCTCGCAGTTCTGCAGGCGAGTGTATCGGTAGCATCTAGTTGCGCAACCCCCACCCACCCCTCCTCCTCCTCCTCCTCCTCCTCCTCCTCCTCCTCCTCCTCCTCCTCCTCCTCCTCCTCCTCCTCCCTCCTCCTCCCCCTCCTCCCTCCTCCCCCCTCCTCCCCCTCCCCCTCCTCCCCCCTCCCCGCGCCGTCGGCCCCTATGCGCACGCGCCGCCGAGGCCTGGCGGCGGAGTCCAGGCCCACGCCGCGAACGAGGAGGTGGTGGTCCTGGAGCCCACCAAACACTGGCCATCGCTCGGACGTCCATTCCCTGTGTTTTTATTCGGATTCGTGCGCGTTTTTCCGCCAAGTGATCGAGGATGCTCCTCGATGGTCCTCGCCGAAGGAAAGATGCACACGTCCGAGCGATGCCACGAACAAGAACGGTACCGCTTGTGCGGCACCGTCGCTGATCTTCGCGGGGCGACCGCGAGCTGCTGGCCTGCGGCTCCGTGCGAAGCGGATCCGGCTCCGAGATCGCATCACGCGAGGAAAGGCGGCTGCCAGCGTCGAGGCCTCCTCGATGTGGTCGGAGTGGGTGGGGTCGGAGAGCCGCGCCGCATCGCCGATGCATCGGCGGTTTATCGGCGATGCACGGGCGATGCACGGTACCGCAGGTTTGCGTCGTGTCGACCCAGGCGATGGTTCTTGACACCGCGGGAATCGTTCAACCTTGAACGATCGGCCGCTGCCGCAACGTCCGATCGTTCAACATCGATCGATTCTGGGTCGCCGGCGGCGTTCAACCTTGAACGCCCGCGCTGGGGTCGCCGCTGGTCGACACGACGCAAACCTACCGTACCACACTGCGCCCGCACCAAGTGCGGGCGCAGTGTGGTGCCGTCGCTCCCCAGACCGCCCCTCCTGTTCCTGGACGTGCGCCCAGGCCAACATCTCGCGGAGAGCCCAGCCGTGGCGGCGAGGGCTCTCCAGGACGAGTCGTGGGATCGGCACCCTGTCCCCTCCCTCCTCCTCCTCCTCCTCCTCCTCCTCCTCCTCCTCCTCCTCCTCTTCCTTTTCCTCCTCCTCCTCCTCCTCCTTCTGCTCATCCTTCTTCCTCTTCTTCCTCATCCTCCTTCTCCCCTCCTCCTCCTCCTCCTCTTCCTCCTCCTCCTCCTCCTCCTCTTTCTCCTCCTCCTCCTCCTCCTCCTCCTCCTCCTCCTCCTCCTCCTCTTCCTCGTCCTCCCTCCCTCCTGGAAAGCCTACGCCAGGCCCTCCGCGACCCCTCCTCCCGACATCCAGCGTCATGCCGCAAGCGAATGAAGAGGCGGTGGCCCTGGAGCCCACCAGAGAACGACGATACCGCCTGGGCGTTGCTCAAGGGGGGGGGGCGATGAATGAGGCGGGGGGGAGAGACCCAGATCTCCGACGACATGATTGTTCCCAGAGCTCGACCAAAACAATATTTTTCGTTGTCGTTTTGGTTTCGTTTTCCCTCGTGTTGTCTTCAATCTTCCGTTGCCGCAAAACGAAGTCAAAACGAAACCGACCCACGAAATCGCCCAAAAATTGTTTAGGTCGAGCCCTGATTGTTCCCGGAAAGCTCCTTGGATAACTAAGAGGGCTTCAGATGAGAAGCGGGCAGGCAAGGGTAGCCCCTGAGCTCGTTCCGGCGTCGCTCCAGGATCCCCGCAGCAGGTTGCTGGAAGTCACAGCGCGCCCCTGAAGGCCCTTTCTTTCTCACTGTTCCCCGTGTGCGTGGGCCGTCAAGCTTTCCAGCATCTCCTTCCCAGAGCTGCCAGAGCTCCCTCGCAGATCTCCCGGGCAACTTCTATCGTTCCACCATCCGGGTTTGGGACACCACAGGCTTCCATCCGGGCGCCCCTCCTCGATGTCGGCCCCTGGGAGCCGCCACCGGGCCCCAGGACCAGGAAAAACGGCGGATCCGGGGCGGCAAACTGCCCCCGGGGAGGTGGCCGGGACCTGTGGGGCCGCAGATGGAAGAAATCACATCAGCGGATGTCAAGGAACGTGCACCCTTCGTGCCCCTTCAGGGCCCCAGAAGGCCCCTTTAGGGCCCCTGAGGTGCACGAAATCGCACCTTGCTTCACCCCCTCACTCATCGCCTCCCGATCACGCAACGCCCGAACCGCTACTCCAAGAACCTCTCCAGGGATGCGTTCTTGAATCCAGCCGTGGCGATGAGGGCTCTCCAGGATGAGTAGCAGTATCAGTACCTTTCTTCCCCTGAGATCCGACGCCACGAAACAAATCCAACATCGTACAAAAACCTACGGGACCTCTGGACCCCATCGTTCTGTGTCATCTCTCTGGCCGGATCCATCTGTGATGGTCCCAGGGCCCGAAACAATGCAAAAACGCCCAATGTGAAAACATTGCAACGCTCAGATCTCAGGGTCGGTCCCTCTTACTTGATTTGGACCCCCAGAGGTCTCGACCCATTCCCAGGGACCGCCTTCTCATCCCGAGTCGTTCGTTGACGGTCCCGGGGCCCGGCGAGGGCCCCATGGAGGCCGAAAACTGTAAAATCACATTCGGCATTGTGTGGCATCCCGCAGATGCGTATAAGAGCGAAGGGACGGGCGCTGGGTGGGTCGTTGGTGGGTCGCGGGGTGGGTCGCGGGTGGGTCGCGGATGGGTCGCGGGGTTGGTCGCGAGTGGGTCGCGGGGTGGGTCGCGGGCGAGGACGACGACAACAACTAACAACAACAAACAACAAGAATCCCAGCCACGGAGCCCCACTTCAGCCACGCACCCAAGGACAATGAATGACCGTTCGGCCTCCTCACTCTGAGTGCGGACGGGAGCGGAGGGGGGGGCCACGAGAGACGAGGAACGGACAGGAGGGGAAGGGGGAAAGACAGGCGACATTTCCAGCTGGGTTTCCCTGATTGTGCCATGCTTTTGATGGTATGTCAGAATGAAGGGGCCGAACTGACATTCACTGTCCCTGGGCGCATGGCTGCAGTGAGGTTCTGCGGTGCGGATTGTTGTTGCTGCTGCTGCGGCTGCTGTAATTGTTGTTGTTGTCGTTGTTGTTGTTCTTCTTCTTGACGCTGAATGTTAATTCCAGAACAATTATTACTGTTGGACCCCCCCAATCGCTTTGGCGCTCTCGCCTCGGCGCCGGCTACATTTTTATTGAAAACGAAGCTCACGCTCGAGCGGTTCGGGGGGGGGCCAAAGCCGGCCCCCCAACAACAACAACGCTCCCGCTCGAAACTTGTTTTATTTTATTCAGGACCTGTGCTCCTGCTCGCCGCTGAAAGCCGCCGTCCCAACAACACCAGCGCTACCGCTCGAGACTTCCTCCCGTTTTACCTTGGAATGGCGCGCTACTCTTTCTCTCGTCGGCGCCGCCCCCAGCAACAACAACGCTCCCGCTCGAGACTTCCCCCCTTCTTTACTCAAGGCGGTCCTCCTCCTCGCCGCCGAAAACCGCCGCCCCGACAAAACCAGCGCTCCCGTCCAAGACTTCCTCCCGTTTTACGCTGGACTGGCGCCCTACTCTCTTTTGAATTGGCGCCGCTCCCAGCAAGAACAACGCTACCGCTCGAGGCTTCCTCTCTTTTTCCTCAGGACGGTGCTGTTCCTCGCCGCCGACAGCCCCCGTCACGACGAAACCACGGCTCCCGCTCGAGACTTCCTCCCTTCTTACTCAAGGCAGTGTTCCTCCTCGCCGCCGACAACCGCCGTCCCAACGAAAACAGCGTTCCCGCTCGAGACTTCGTTTTGTTTCACGCTGGACTAGCGCCCCACTCTCTTCAGCATGGGCGCCGCTCTCAGCAACAACAGCGGCCCTGCTCGAGACTTCCTCCTTTTGTATTCAGGGCCAGGTCCTTGCCTCGCCGCCGACAGCCCCATCCCCACCAAGGCAATCCTGTCGCTCGATACTTCCTTGTGTTTTACCCTTGGTTGTGGCTCCACTGGCGGTCTCGCATCGGCGCAGCAAGGCGCGGCCATGCATTTTCGAGGCGGGATCTGTTGAAATTTATGGGAGGAGGTGTTTGCAACACCTCATTGGGCGGGAGATCTATGAATGGGAATAACGGGCCCCGCTATAGAGCAGAAGTCCCCCATGATGGGGATAGTTATCATGATGGTCGCATGCTTCGTGTGGAAACATCGCGCATGAGGGTAACATGATTGTTGTTGTTGTTTTGCTCGTTGTTGTTTTTTCCAACCACCCCTAGTTGAAAAGGTTCAAGTTGTTGTTGCTCAGGGCTCTGGGGGGCACCCAGCGGCCACGGGAGGTCCCAGGGGCTCTCGGAGGCACATCCACATCAGCGAATTCCACGCGAGTGGCCGACCGCATCGTGAGCCGTCTCACGAGGGCAGACGGGCGATCAGACCAGGCAGCTGAAAGCGTGCGGTGGCGACGAGAGGAGACTCTCAACCGCGCTACAAAATGCTGAGCAGGGGATCCAGCAATCTCCAAGATCCGGGTGCTCAACGCAGACAAAAAGGCATCACAGCCTGCAGCACGCAGCAGTTTAACTTCAGGAGGTGCACGGACGAAGAAAATGAGATGGCAAAACCAATGTGGGCGCCCCGAGGGCTCACTAGAGCTTGTCGTTCTGAAACCAGTCCAATCGGCAGCCAGTTTCTCCAACCGAGGACATTCACAGTAGTGATATATGACATCCAAATCCGTGCTAGCTCCACCGGCGGTGGGTCTCCATAATTGGGATTTCGACTCCGGAATTGGAAAAGATCAATCCCCACCTGCAATATTGGAGTTCCCAAACTCCTATATGGAAAAAAACAAAAATGGAGTTGTCAAACTCCAGATTGACATATTGACCTTTTCCCAATCTTGGGGTGCAATACTGAGGTCTTGGTCCAATATCGGGGTTCCAACCCCGATATTGGGGTTTCCGAAACCCGATATTGGGGTTTTTCAATTCCGGGGTTGGGAAGTCCAAAATTGGACTTTCGATTGGCCTGCGAAAGTGGAGGTTAGAGGCATATTTCCTCCTCCTCCTCCTCCTCCTCCTCCTCCTCCTCCTCTTCCTCCTCCTCCTCCTCGTCCTCCCACTCCTCCTGGAGGAGAGCGCGCGGGGAAGTATGAGAGAGGACTTTAGTGACCCGCCCGCCCGACCCGACCAGTCCACAAAGGCAAGACCGCTCTACCTCGCCAGCTGCGTCTGACTTAAAGTCCCGCCCGCCCGGCCCGGCGCTCGCCCGACCCGACCGGCCCGCTAGGGCAAGCGTGTGCTGCTTAGAGACCTGCGTCAACCTTGAAGGTCCCGCCCGCCCGACCCGAC